ACACTCCACTGCCTCCTCCCTTCCTCGCCTCCTCCTTATCTTACATTATTCGCCCTAACATCAACCTTGGTCTATTTCGAGTCAACTTATGATATTTCGCGTCAACTTGGGCTATTTCGCGTCAACTTCAAAATGTTGGCAGTATTACAATTCTGTTTAAACAACTCAGATAGTTAGTTTTTTATTGTAAAAAAATACCTTTATATTGCTTGGATGAAACGCAATGAGCTGTACAAGAACCTGTAATATTATACTGAATTTGACTTTAATTCTGCCCTGGTCCGTAGAAAAGAAAATTAATAAATAAATAATCCGGTAACTTCACACGACTTCTAAGTACAGGTTGTTGTGCAGCTCAGTGTGTTTCATTCAGTTTACTTACTATATTTTAGTAAGAATTTTTTTAGATAATAAGGGTAAAATTTTACTGTAAATTGCTTGATTTTGTTTTTGTTATGCTATTTATCCTTTTGTTGTTTTTGAACTGTCTTTTGCTTTCCTTTGCTTATATTTTATATTGTTAATGGGTGCACCATCTAAGTGATGGGTGCCACTGATCTAAAAGTGAACCCAATAAATCGTATCGTATCGTATCACAACCTTTGCCGCCCCTAGTTATGATTTGTCACACATACCCAATACTAATACTAATAATACTAATAATACTAATAATAATAATAATAATAATAATAATAAAAATAATAATAATAACAATAATAATAATAATAATAAAATAATAATAATAATAATATATTATTATTATTATTATTATAAATAATAATAATAATATTAATAAAACGATCGCTTTTGTCGCTACTTACCAATAAATAATATTTCCGCTCCTTTGATATGATGCAGGCAAATAGGCCCTATGTGTAGCTTATATCATAGAGAAAATATTTTCTCTATGCTTATATACAGCATAGGACGACTAAGAGTTAGGTGTGATACAGTATTCATGGCCAAAGAGATTTCCTCTTTTCTTTCCTCTGTTTTTTATGTGAACCCGGATGCAAACTTTTTGAAATAACATTTCTATAAGGCTTCATTAGTATTTCACATGCATCAAGAGTCAATCAGTCTGATTAGCCTAGGCCTAAACGCTTTTGTATCGGCACACCACCTGTGTGGGAACCTTACAATGATAAATTATACCATAGATGATTATACCATGGCGGTATTATTAAATAATTATACCATGGATGTATTATTATTTAATACCTCCATGATTATACCTCCATGATTATAGAAGCGGTGTGGCTGTCCCCTTTGACTCCGCAACTGGGTAGAGTATTATTGAATGTCATGACTTTATTTGTTTTATTTGCAGTAACACATATAAAACATTATACAAGGTATGGTACATTGAAAGCATTGAGAAGGAAAACACATACAGTATGTTATTATTTGTCATTAAAGTTTTTAAAAGATACATTTTGTTTATTTACTTTGATTCCTCTCTTTCTCTTTTTTTTTTTTTTTTGGATAAGAAAGCAAATAACCTTTTTTTTTTTTTTTTTGATAAGAAAGCAAATAACCTATTTAAATACCGGCATTTTAAAGAGTGTTGATTTCTATATTCCACTCAAATGAGTTGACTTGCCTGAGGACCAACAAAATAACCTCTAAAATAGAATGTATACAACTTGTGACCTCAAGAAGGCTTGATGTAATTCTCAACATCTTAGAGTAATTCAAAGCATCGACAATTCATATTAATTTACCGATGGCCTATTGTATTGTTCATATTCTTCTAAACTTCCAGGTTTCATTTCACCTTTATGAAGTCAAAAAAATGGGGGGAAAAAAAACGTTGCACTGCCCGGGAATCGAACCCGGGTCGCAAGAATGGGAATCTTGCATGATACCATTACACCAGCAGTGCTTCAAGGGCATTTTCGTGCATTTATCGTTTGTAATTTTTATTTAGAAACGCCTAGACTTACAATTTAGTTATACTATAATAATAGTAGGTTCCACTTCATGGTTTCACCGATTTTCCAATATAAAACATAACTACAGACCCTAGCCTAGGCCATATGAATGATATAACGTAATTCCTTGAAAATGTACCAGAGTAAACGTAAATTTCTGATACTGCGATGACCTTTTACGTCTTTTCCCATGTGATAATGTGTTGTTTATCCAGGTAAACGCGTTTTGTCAACCTAAACAATCAAATTCCCGATCGCTCCGTAAATGTTATTTGCTATTATACCTATGCTAAAGCAAGTATTTACTAATATTGGCATATTCCTACTGAATCTTTTCTAATCCCGTCATGATTTCTATAAGAAATTGTTCAATTCGAGACGCGTTTGAAAACAAATGGATTGGAAGAACGCGAAACATGAGAGTGCAACGCATATTTTATTTCTGTGCTTTTGAGATATGGATTTTCTACATTCGACGACCGATCGCCGATCGATCGATCCATCCGTCCCCCTTCGCCTTGCATTACGAGCATGGTGATTTTATGTAGTACGCATAAGAAGTGAACAAAATTACACATGTCAGGGAGTTTTATATGATTGTTGTTTTGTAATAGTTATATCTTGCATACATGTTTCGCTTAAGAAATGAGATGATATAAGATACGATGTACAACTTGAGTAAGGGTCCCTGTAAAATTAATGTTCAAAGCAGACGAGGAGGTGAGTAAGGAGGCCTGTAGAACTAGGAAGGCGAGTGTAGGGCCATGTGGCATGTTGTTACTTACTACTGCCACTGGTCAGTGGTAGGGCTGTAGTACAGGGCCTACCCCCCCCCCCCCAGGTATATATCGATATGAAGGCTGTATCTGTTTTCAACAATATCTTGTGAGGGTGGCCATCATCATTAATCTAGCCAAAAGAGCTGATTAATCAGGACCGACCCTCAGACTTCAGTCACAAAAGAAGATGAAAAAACTCTTGCTAGGCCAAGACTTCAAACTCTTGCCTTAATTAGTTTTTGTTTATGCCTTTGTAACCCAGCCCCAGAGCCTATGATTTATTACAAACGATTTATCCTATTACTTCCGTTTTTAAAGGATATTCTCAGCAACTAGAAAATAATTCTGAAGGTCGGGAAATTAAAAAAGATATGAAGTAAGTTTTCCAAATTATTTATTACTAATTGTTTTTTTCAATTTAATTGAAGTGTATTTAGTTCAAAATGTTGAATGAAATTTGTCAGTGAATGACCTAAATCTAAATATTAATATTGATAATTATATATAGACCAGGACTTACTCAGATTATGAATATGATTTAAATTTATATACAGTACCTTTGATTTGTGTTTCAACATTTCAGTGCACAGGCATCACCAAGACCTTATTTTCAGGCTACCACGCATACTCAAGAGCACTTGGCAAATGTCAAGATGTTATCAGACGGTGTGTATGATTTATGGCAGTGGCTAGGATGCACTATCTGCTAACCCTAAACTTCTATATATCATTACCAAGATAGCACCTTTACTTTAGACCATCAACGATTTATTTATTGGCTGTGGCTATTGTTCAGTCTTAAATGAATTTCATTATCCTAATGCCATCCACACAAATAACAAATCAGAATTAGAAAGTCCAACTCCAGAGGAAAAACAATTTTTGATATGTTGTAGAACTGATTTTTCTAAGACAGAAAAAAGTTGTTTGACGAAAAACTGGGGAACGGTGAACGAGGTACAGATTTTTGAATATTTAAAAATTCGTATCTCATTCACCGTTGCTCTTTTTTTGATCAAACTACTTTTTTCTGTCTTAGAAAAATTAGTTATACAACATATCAAAAAAATGTTTTCCTCCGGAGCCTGACTTTAAACCTGGTGTGACAATGGCCTAATTATTTTATGGTCTGAGTTTCCTTGACACACCTTTCAAATATTGAATTTAGTTTCATTTTATTAAACAATATTAACAATAGTTTATTCAGCTCAGCAACACATTTAATACATTTTAGTGGATTGATTATGCAATTTTCTTTTTAAAGCGTGGAAGAAAACGGAAAAGCAGTTAAACGACCAAAGAAGTGGGAAAAAAAGTAAGTACTAAGTGCTCAAAAATGAATATGACATTTTTAGATTTGAGTATTTTAATATGAAACTGTTTACAATGTGCAATATCCACTTTATGAAGGACCTGCAGATACCTGGGCCCATGAGATTGCACAGAATTGTTCTATTGCAAAGTGGAACAGATGCTTGCATTGACTAATAACATACTTTAAAAATGGTGGCCCTCTTTTTAATGAGTAGTGCATACCCTGTCTCAAG